CTGGAATAGAGAATCTGGCCTACTCCACAGATGTCTACTGCTGAAATCAGCTACAACGGATGAGTTTATTCCTTCTCTGAGAATTCAGAGGCACTACTTGCTGAACGGGGGTAGGAGATGCACATACTTTGAGTACTCTTTTTCACACACACTGCCTTTAAATGCATAAAGGCATTGACATATTATCTTCATTCAAGAGAAAATGCTGTCTCAGAACAACTTTATTTCAAAATACACCTGCAATTAGAATCTTGGCAAAAATATCCTTTTCTTGTGATCTTAGTTTAATGTCTCACAAAGATTGTTCCTTTTTATATTAAATTTAGTAACCCTCTCAGAGGAATTAGTATCAAGGAATTAATGAAGGAAACGTTTACCGTTTGAAGAATGCAATGAAATAAATTAAACTGAAATTCTACCTCAGTTTAGATAACTACCAGCAGTTTCACTTTTTAGCACTACAGATTTGATTGTTCTCCCTTTCCCTTTTGTGAGTAGATGTCTAGAAGAGCCACTGGTTTATGCAGATGGAGAAGGATGTTTTCCCTGGGTGCTCTCCACTCCCCCGCTTGCCATATCCAATACTTCAGGCCCTCCTTCCACAGATTTAAGGATATCTTGTTGGAGACTTGATCTATGAGCTTAACGGATGTTGCATATTTAATTAATGGGTCCAGAAGATGATTGTGCTTTCTTCAAATTGTTGCTGATTTCTTGTGTTTGGGTAAACCTCTTTTCCTTGGTTTTACTTAGATGCTTTTAACTTTAATTATTGCACTGATGGTAAATGGGAATGTGGCAGTTTTCTTGTCCCCCTTTTCCAAGTATTCAAAAATAACTTAAACTATCATCATCAAAACCTGTATGCTGCAACATAAAAATAAGAAGCTTCAATTATCACTTCTTGACACTCAAAAGATCATTCTGAAATTATAGTCAGACCAAAATTATAGAATTTTCAAATTCAAAAAGGATAAACACCACTCTGACTCTTACTGAATGTCAGTCTATGCAGACAAATTCTGTAACTACCCCTTTTAGGCTATGTATTTGAACTTTACACAAGAAAGACAGAAAGAAATCAGGGTTAAATTCCCTACTGCCTTCCATCCTCTGTAATGTAAAGTGATGTCACTTCATCTTTTGTAATGGAAAAAAAGTCACCAATCTGACACATTGCCACTTCCACTCATGCAAAACAAATGGACGAGTTGAAGCAATCAGCTGAAACTGACTTGTGCCTTATGACAGGGTATAACCTTTAGTCCGCCATGTGAATGACGTGAATGGAACCAACTATTTTTCATGGGACATCTTGTTTCACAAAGCAGTGTGCAATTTCCAATACTGTGGAAAATGATAAAAGAGCGTGAAAGAGGCTTTGTAACAATAATGAAAGTTATCAACTGATATAAAGTAGCCTTGTTTTAATTAAACTTTCTGAGTGACAATTTTTGTCCAATACCTCTAAATCTTTCTTAATAAAGAATGGCCTTTCCATTTTTCTATTTCCAACTAAGATACACTGATTCACTGAAAACCTGAACTTGAACTCTTTGCAAAGAGCTGGAGATTTTCCCCATCAAACTTGAGACCGCTATATCTAAATATAAGGAAGCAAACTTAAAGATCAGTGGGATGATTTTGGTGCAACTTACTGAGCCACGTATCCGTATTATTTAAAACGTTATGAAAATCTGTGTAATGTTAACAATGTCAGTGCTTATTTTTGCTACAAAAAACAGATGGAAAAGGATCAAGACAAAAGACAGTACAACTTTCATAAGGAGTGAGATTGCAAAAGCAAGATTTGCAAACAGACAAAAATTAATGTTGAAGAGTACAAACAAATATCCTGGCACTTATGATACAAACTTCAACCCAAGGGTTTCTTTGCTAGCAGCCGGTAAGTGATTACATAGTACGTAATCCTAGTAAGACAAACTTGGGGATGAGAAAACTCTGCTGTCAGTACTAGCATCCTTTGTGTCTGAGTAGTGACACAGACTCCGAGACAAAACAATTAAACTGTTCTTGTGTCATAGAATCATAGAATCATAGAATCATTGAGGTTGGAAAAGACCTCTAAGATCATCGAGTCCAACCGTCAACCCAACACCAGGACTCCACCACTTCCCTGGGCAGCCTGTTCCAATGTTTAACCACTCTTTCAGTAAAGAAATTTTTCCTTACATCCAATCTAAACCTCCCCTGCCGCAACTTGAGGCCATTTCCTCTCGTCCTATCACTTGTTACTTTGGAGAAAAGACCAACACCCACCTCGCTACAACCTCCTTTCAGGGAGTTGTAGAGAGCGATGAGGTCTCCCCTCAGCCTCCTTTTCTCCAGGCTAAACAGCCCCAGTTCCCTCAGCCGCTCCTCATAAGACTTGTTCTCCAGACCCCTCACCAGCCTCGTTGCCCTTCTCTGTGTCTTTAACCTTTGTCCATTGGTGTGTGATACTGGGCACCGTCAATGTTGAACAAATAGCATTAGCATGCATCTCATAGCAGCAACAGGGATACAGCTGAGAGTAGTATTTGGTCTGTTGACTGAAAATTTAAAGCTAGAATAAGGAGGTGTACATTTGACTCAATTGGCCTGTGCAATCTGTGCACAAACAATTTTAGCTTGGCAAGACAGGCAGAACAGGTAGGAGATATGAGGCTGCATAACACTGGGCTGGTTTGAGCTCATGTATGGGCAAAACCCAGCAGAATTCCAAAGTGAGTGCAACTTGCCAACTTCAGAAGAAATAGTAAATCCATACAATTATAGAGTATGTTGTAAGTTCTACCCACACTGACTAAAGCTAACTAATGCACAAGAATGCCAAAAGGCATGCAATGAGAAGAAGAAAAACTGCTTGGTGTAATTAAGTGAGTAAAAGTGAAAAGAAGAACAACTGGCATAGATGGAAGGGTAAATCTGAGAAATCACTTACAAATATTTTGAAACATCTGATACCATATTGAAACTGGAACTGCAGGATTTTTTTGGCTGTTCTTCCTAAAGTTGTTTTCTTCTTCACGTGGCAAACCGTCTGCAGAAAAGTATTTCATTTGGGAGGCATAGTGCTTTATCAAGCAGGCTCAGTCTCACCAAGTCCTCAGTCCTGGCAGAATGAGGGATAAAATGCTTGGCCGTGAACTGGTGAAGGTGAGCTGTAACATGTTCAGCTGGACCTTGGACAAAGCAGAGCACCCGCAGGATCCTTTTGTAAACAGTGGGGATAGAGCTTAGGGTGTCTGTACGCCTCTGTCTGGCAAGCTGATGATAGGATGCTCACCAAAATGGGAGGTGGTAGTAGGTACACATTGTATAACGGCACCTTTTCCCTCAATAGCTAAACTGTACACCAGACAGTATGAAAAGAAGGCAGGGAAGATAGTTAAAAGGATTTCCTAGTTGTGGTGCGTCTTTTTACTTTTTGCCAGAGAAGATGCTCTCCAGCTGCTCTATTGCATTTAGCTGTGCCTCTCCCTCCTTACTGAGGTAGCCCCGATCCACCCGCAGGTGGATACTTGCACTCTGCTTGTATTAACTTGCTAAAACAAACTAGTAGGGAAATCACGAGCCTCAAAATTAACGCAGGTGGATAAGACAATGGACCTAAACATAACCCTCTCTGAAATGTATCTTTTGATATACTGGCAGCTTCAGCTGTATCTATCTGTATCCTATCCAGATTAATCTACCTCCTATCAATATCAGATGAAAGCAGTGATTTGCTATAATTTTCATGTTGTAATGACCTGCCAGGATGACATACCATCCATTTATAAAGGACAAGTAGGAAGTGGGTTTAACCCTTTTGGGTTGTTGTTGCATGGTGTTGGAAAAACACCAGCACAATGCTTTCCATTTTCTGGGAAAGGGGAGTTTATAGAAATTCTGGGCTTCATCTGGAATCTTCAAAAAGAGACAAGATTTTTTCCCCTACAAAAAGATTCCTGGCAATATTGGACAGATGAAATGAAATTACTGGATGGAGAATGACAGCTGTGCGCTGCCGTTCCAATCTGGGGTAAAAAAAGAGCCCAACAGCAAGCACAAGCTATAAAAACTCCTTGTATTCTGATACGAGCAGCTTACAAGAACAAGGCAGATGTGATAATTATATAAGCAAAATGCACAGCACTGTAACACCCGTAGCTACTGGGTTAGGCCGGTTGTGCTTTGCTTTCTTGACTTCTTTTTTTTTCTCTTCTCATTTTAGAATAGAGAAAAATTATCCGTTTGCAGCAAGGGATGCTGATTATTTGTAACACCCCTGAAACGGCTTTGGGGCACAGAAAGAAAAGGTATGCCGGGTGAGTTTTGTAGGCGTGTTAAAAACTAACAAATAAACAAAAACTCAGCCAGCC